TATCGTATACACGGACGGACGGACAGACGGACACGGACGGACAGACTTGACTTAATCGATTTCTCTTTTCATTCTGATCATTTATGTATACATTTGTCTATGTCTATCTCGATTCGTTTTGGCTGTTACAAACAACCGTTATGCGAACAAAATTAATATACCCTTGTGCACAAGTGCGCTCGGATATAAAAATATTAAGATTTAAGTGAGCTGGGCCGATTTGAAAATACCTTCAAAGTTAGAGTTTTTTATGAATAAAAATAGTTTCTTAAAGATTTTTTTTGAAAAGATCCCCTCTGATGACAAAACAAATTAGGGATCCCGGGACTGAACCAACGACATGCCGAAAATCCCGGGATTGTAAAAATCGAAAAAATCAACATCCCTAATACACACATATAAATTCAAGGCCATATTTAAGGAAAGTCGCCTAACTATTAAAAAATTAAGAAAAAATGTTTTTTTTTTTTGTAATTTGCACAATGAAAACTCCCATTAATACAAGTCTGACAATAAATAATTATACATCGTTTTAAAGGCCTATAAATCCTTTCCTCACAACATGTTCGATCTTTAAAATTGAATGAAAACTAGTCATTCAAAAACTTAAAAATCTATAAAACCATACTTTCTGACCTAAAATGACAAGTCGCGACCTCTAAGTAACTTTTGAAAATCTATAAAAATAGGCAATATTGTTTTCCAGAAAACGGACGGAAATTGAGGGGTGGGGTCTTGAAATTTCAAAAAAACAAAAATTTCGATGGGCCCCCTAATATACATACATACTACATATATGGATCTATGATTTTTTTTTTATACGGACTGCTTTAAAAATATGTAGTATGTAAATCGCAGAAATAATAAAGGAAGCTAATTCTCAGTTCATCAGCCTACCTAGAAACGAGTGAATATATAATTGGTTCCTTTGCATTTTTCCAATGGTAATGAGTAATTGAGATAAGCGAATATAATGTTTGACCTCAAGTTATCAATTTTGTTAATTGTCATTGAGTACCAGACAAAGAGACGTCGATGCACAGAGCAATAGTTCCGCGAAAGAAAGCGTACAATTCGTATGACGTTAATGAGTTCAGAGAAAGTAAATTTTTGGGGAGTTTGTTGAACCATCTTCTACACTGCGAAAATGCTGATTCATAATTGTAAGTGTAAATAGACAAAAATTTGGCATTTCATATCTGAACGCCAAGAATTGTTCAATCAAATGAATTTTTCCACTGATCGTTATCAATGAATGGTACTCATTTAGGTACAGGTTCTGTTTGTGATAATTTTTGCATATACAGTGACCAGGGCTGCCAACTATCCTTAATTCTGAGGTGCCTTATTGAGTTTAAAAAAGAGTATAAAAAGAAGAATGACAAAAAAGGTGTCATAAAAAAAGGACATAGAGAGAGAAGAAAAAAAATTAGTAAGTTTGGGCTGCGCTACGGAAGTGAAAATTCTCTTGAATAATTTATTAATCGTTCTTTAATTCTAATAGTTGTATGCTTCGATCTATTAACTTATAAAATAAGATAAGATCACGTAACACTGAGTTGAGTGAATTTATATTGATCAAATCACAAGTCAAGAACTCTATTTTATTTATTATTTGAATTGCTGATCAATTTTTAATTTGTTTCGTTGAGCTTAGCTGAGTTGAGTTGATATGAGGTGAGTTAGGGTGTTTGAGCGGTGGTACGTTAAGGTGTGTTGGGGAGAGGTGAAGGCAAATGAGGTGAAGTAGGCTGAAGTGATGTAGGTTAAAGTTATATGAGGTGAGGTGAGTTGTAGTGCAAAAAGGTATATTGGGGTAAGTTAAAGTGAGGCGGGTTGAAGTGACGTGAGATGAGGTGAGCTAAGTTGAATTAAGTTGAGTTGAAGGGAAGTGAGGTGAGATGAGGTTAGTTCAAATGAGTTGAGTTGAGATAAAGTGAGACACATAACACATCTTAATCTCGAGTCTTATTTTAAATATTTTTTTTCCTTTATCTCTATCTCTATCTCTATCTCTATCTCTATCTCTATCTCTATCTCTATCTCTATCTCTATCTCTATCTCTATCTCTATCTCTATCTCTATCTCTATCTCTATCTCTATCTCTATCTCTATCTCTATCTCTATCTCTATCTCTATCTCTATCTCTATCTCTATCTCTATCTCTATCTCTATCTCTATCTCTATCTCTATCTCTATCTCTATCTCTATCTCTATCTCTATCTCTATCTCTATCTCTATCTCTATCTCTATCTCTATCTCTATCTCTATCTCTATCTCTATCTCTATCTCTATCTCTATCTCTATCTCTATCTCTATCTCTATCTCTATCTCTATCTCTATCTCTATCTCTATCTCTATCTCTATCTCTATCTCTATCTCTATCTCTATCTCTATCTCTATCTCTATCTCTATCTCTATCTCTATCTCTATCTCTATCTCTATCTCTATCTCTATCTCTATCTCTATCTCTATCTCTATCTCTATCTCTATCTCTATCTCTATCTCTATCTCTATCTCTATCTCTATCTCTATCTCTATCTCTATCTCTATCTCTATCTCTATCTCTATCTCTATCTCTATCTCTATCTCTATCTCTATCTCTATCTCTATCTCTATCTCTATCTCTATCTCTATCTCTATCTCTATCTCTATCTCTATCTCTATCTCTATCTCTATCTCTATCTCTATCTCTATCTCTATCTCTATCTCTATCTCTATCTCTATCTCTATCTCTATCTCTATCTCTATCTCTATCTCTATCTCTATCTCTATCTCTATCTCTATCTCTATCTCTATCTCTATCTCTATCTCTATCTCTATCTCTATCTCTATCTCTATCTCTATCTCTATCTCTATCTCTATCTCTATCTCTATCTCTATCTCTATCTCTATCTCTATCTCTATCTCTATCTCTATCTCTATCTCTATCTCTATCTCTATCTCTATCTCTATCTCTATCTCTATCTCTATCTCTATCTCTATCTCTATCTCTATCTCTATCTCTATCTCTATCTCTATCTCTATCTCTATCATTTTATTTATATTAATCTTTTATTCTTTATATTTATCCACATATTTTTTCTTATCCTTTTCGTTATTAACTCCTGCATCTATGTACATATTGCCTTTCACCCTTTGTCTTTATATTTGAGGGACTCACAACGGTGTCGTAAGTGTTGTATTGTTGTATGTCGTAAACTTTAAAAGCTTAAATAAATATTTTGAGAACTTGAAACCGAAACAAACTATTCTTTAACACTACGAAAACGCAAAATATGACTTTGTTGGTACTTTACGAACCCCCTTAATATATTTTTTAGGCGTTTAAATTTCACGACGCACAACAATACGACACTTACGACACCGGTGTAAATACCCCAGTTATGTATTTAGAGTTACCTGAATATTTGCCTTTTGTCTTATCATATCTTTGGTTTCACTTAGCCTTTATCTAATTATTCATCTTAACCTTTCTATTCTTGTACTAATCGAAATCTAAATCTTATCCGCTGCTTCACATTCATTTCTTTAATTCAGTATCAATAAAAAAGCAAATATTTGGTGGCAGTTCCGTCCCCAACCATCCCTCATTTAATTCAAATATTGCACAGTACTACTTTGTACGAAGATCAAGGCGAATTTATACAAGGTGGTGTTGCTAGATCAGCTGATTTGATTCCCCTTGGTACACATTTGCCGAAGAAGTTTCTTATGAGTGAGCGAGAAAGTGAGAGTGTTAAAATTTTATTTCCCTATTCTTCTTTGAGCGAAGAACGGCTGAAACAAAACAAACAAAATACATATAAGTTTTTGTTTTTGTACCAACACCTTTTATGGAATCGCCTTGTTTTAAAAATAAAGTTTTTGGGAAATTGAGAACAATTAGCATCATACAATCTGTTATTTCGGTGGCCACACCGCGTGAACTTAAAATTATTATTAGAACAGCCGTTAGGAACTTTTTTAAACTTTTAGCCATTCGAAATAACGAAAGTTTAATAAATAAACTCATCTGCTAATTGTACATCATTAAAAGATTAGATTAAAATTTAATTGAATAGAAAAATATCGGTATCTATGTTCCTTATCGCTCTTAAGCAGGGATCACACGTGTTGTACATTTGTACATTTTCACAGTTACATTGAAGTATTGTTTAGAAAATTGTTATTGAGCTGAACTAATTCTCGAAAAAATTCTCTATACAATACATGTGTATATGTACAAATTTTGTGATCCCTGCTTTAGCGACGATGCCGCGGCCTGATCCACCGCTTTGCCATACGTATTACTATAGTCTATAGTGGTCAATCAAATATTGTACATATATAGTTCTTTGTTGATACACATACGAGTATGTATGCATGCATGCCTACTTTGCTATTTATAGATCATATCACTAGTTGTTGTTTTAACAACTACGGATTTTAAAATTTACGTTGCATTTATCAGCTGAATCTTGTCGAAAAATTTTCCATGACATTAATAAAATATATTCTACGTACACTTATAAATGTATATACATATATAGACTTATATTATAGAGGATGGTGCTATTATAATCAGTTGAAATTCGTAAAATTTAATTATATTAGTTTTTAGACAAATATCAAATAAAAAATATGCAAAAGTCACATATTTACACTTCTGCGAATGAGGTCATATGTTAAGTATGTATTAAGTTTTATTTCTGAGTAATTACTTATTTTAAGGCTTTTTGATATTCAATTTATAAGAACTATTTTTAAAAATAATTTTTTTGTAATACATTTCCCATAAAAAATGCAATTGCTTTTTCTTAAAATTTCAGACCGTTTATTTGAATTGTTCAAATAAACTTAAGTAAAAGGTATGAAATTTTAAGAAAAAGCTATTGCTTAGTTTATATTAAAGAATACAGCCCAATATGTAGAAATATATTACTTGTATAAAATATAATCAATATTTTATTTTAAACATACACAACAAATACTAATTTAAATTTTTTTTCTCTTTTCAGTGCTGCAACGCTCTTAAGAAATTTTGAAAAAATAAACAACGCCAGCTTATACGCATCCGCCAAAATTGCGCAAACAATTTTCTATCCGACCACCTATATAAATACAGCAAAACTGCACATCATAAACGATCCGTTTACAATAATGGAGGGCTTCGTGCACGATTGGCCCACACCACCGCCTACAGATATTCCCCTGCACATGGATCTAGTCAGCGAACTACAGGGCGATGGTGGTTTTGAGCCGCAGACTCGTGCCAGATCGAATACTTGGCCATGTCCGCGGCCAGAGAACTTTGTGGAGCCGTCAGACGATTTGGATAGCACGAAGGCGAGTAATCAGCAGCTGGCGGGTGGAGGTGAGAAAAAACATACATAATTTGAAATATATTCGTAGTATGTAAGACCTCGACGTACAGTGGCGAAAATATAAATAGGGAAGAGACATTGCAGCATTCTTTTGCTATTTTCCCTACGTTAATTAAATGATTATTATTATTATTAACGTTTTTTTGAAAGTGTAGTCTTGTTTTCTAACAAAAACCATGTAAGTCGAAATTTCAAACTTTGTAGGAAAATATGCAAAATTCTACAAGATTTGATCAAAATAGAAACGATCTGAGTGCGTTCACTTTTGTAGCTTATTCAATTTTACTATAACAAGGTGCAACTTTTAAGTATGTAGGACTTACTCTTGATTTTTTGGAAATCTTTTTTGTGGAAGGTGTTGCTCGCCTCTTCCATTTGTATAGAAGAAAATGCATGAAAAGAAAATTGCCAAACATCAACGGTAAGTCCTTCTACCTGCATTATGTTATACTCAAATCTAATGGGCAATAAAACTGCATACTCAAAAAATTCTAATAAATTTTATAAAAAACATAAACATTTTGATTTACAAAGTTTGAAATATTAATTTACATGTTTTTTAGATAGTAAGCTACATGTATTTCCATAAAAAAAGAATAAACATTTTTTAGACAAAGAAAATTAGCCAAAATTTGCTAAAATATCTGTTGCCCATCTAGACCCTCGCCACCGTACATTAATGGGATGGAATGGAACGGAATTGTGGTTGACCGTCTTGAGTCGTCAGTATGCGTAGAAAGTCTTTATCAAGCTCCTCAAAATAGTGCCTGAATCTATCCATTGCTCCCATGTAGTAAATCTAACGTACTTTCTTCCTTAAGATACTCAAAGCATCTGTTCGTCATTAGGGACCAAACACAAGGGCTATTGTTCAGATAACGTATTAAATAACTCTCTGTGCCCAGAACACCATCAATTCCCAGATTTATTCTACATAGTATTTTTTAATCGAAAAATATTACCCATTTATTTTATATAAAAAATAACTTTTTCGTAGAAATGGTATAGAATCTTTGCAGACTCTGTTTCTCGTCAGGAGACTTGAAAGTATAATACGTAATTGCTTAAGTAAAATTTTGAAAGTACTATTGCTTTCTTTTGGGGTTTTCGGGGTACCCATAAAAAATAGTTAATATTAAAAAATGTTTAAATAAATGAAGAGAAACAGAGTTTAATTTCTTTTGAGCGATCACACAATATTTTTTGTTTAAAAAAAAAATCGATATACAATCCTAGGGGGTGAGAGCATTAAAATTCCGACTTTACTTTATTTGGACCACCCTACTACAAATATACATACTCATTGCCCGTTTGACATAGAAACCGCGGCTTTGACCATGGTGCTACAACAGAATACGTGACGAATCAGTCTGGCTAAAGCTTATGATCTGGTGATCGGACCGCCAAACGAAACGCGGAGCTATCCCGTATTCCATGGGCCGGAACCCTTTTGTGGGCACATAAAAGCACACCAAAGCACACACAAGGGTTGTTATAAAAAAGTAGGTAGACAAAAAACTGCACGGGCACTGAAGTGAAAGCCCAAAGCAAAGACAAGCTTAGGTGGCCATTACAAGAAGTTTCAAGAAAGCTCATAAATTTATGGTACATTGTTGTTGCCTGCGTAATCTCCTCAGTAAAATGAACCTTTCGGACACGAGCGTCTGTTTTTTCTGTGCACCTGAACGAAGAAAAGCCAGAACACATTCTTTGTGAATGTGTGTTCCCAACGTGATACATATAACACTTAATCCATTCGAAATGTGTAACAAAAACCACACGGAAGTGCTAGCCTATATAATATAGAAAGCTTATTTATTTTGAAACGAATTTCCGTCATCCCTTGTCAAGTTTTTAGCCGTTTTAGCGTTGTGCCATCATCTGATTAATTTTTCGTCTTAAAGTAAAAGTCTTCACGTATTGGGTAAAGGGCCACGTACAAGAGACCACTTTGGAGGTGCCCACAATAATAATATTACATAATACTAATAATGACCCAAACATATTATCTGTAGATAAAATTGCTCAAATACCGCCAGAATGCCGATTCAGCAGCGCTCTTTCACAATTGAGGACTTATTAATAGACTTCCATCAGAATATATTTTTTTTTTTTATGTAAGTTACTGAATAACCTTGGTTCACTGGAACCGTTTTCGGTGATCCTTTTTTATCGGGTGGATGGCACTTCACGTGTGGCGACCAACTAATTTCGTTGTTGTTCTGATCTCTTAGACATGAAGAAATAAACCATACTCCTTACTTTTTATACGCACGTTGAAGTCGGTTGTACTTTTTTCTTCTTAAAAATTACATGTTTTCAAGTACAATATTTGGTCAACACAGTTATCTGGCATTTGACGACAAACGCCATTGAAACTGGCACAGTTAAAACAAGCCCCTACCGTTAAAAAATAATTTCCTGAAATATAATATAAGCAACATACTAGTATTGAGTATAAAAAACTATACACAAAAATATGACAATGTAAACAATTACATACATAAATACATATGTATGCATATATGTATGTGCAAGTGTAAACAAAAAACATGCTTGCATCTCTTGCCAAATATTTACTACCTTTTTAAAATGGTTATTAAAAACAAATCGTTGATTTTCAGATTCGCAACAGGCCGTACAAAATATGAGTACAGCGAAAAAAAATTCATCGCGTCGCAATGCGTGGGGCAATTTGTCGTATGCGGATTTGATAACGCACGCCATTGGTTCGGCGACCGACAAACGGCTAACGCTTAGTCAAATCTACGAATGGATGGTGCAGAATGTGCCATATTTTAAGGATAAAGGCGATTCGAATAGCAGTGCCGGCTGGAAGGTGAGTAACAGAGCTAAAGCCTTTAATACAAAAGCGCGCAAAGGCGCCTCTGCAAACATACTATAAGCAAATAACAAATTTAAATGCATTCGAAAACATGTGTGATCTGAAAAACAGCGCTTCGTTTGCGAAAATGTTCAAATAACCGACAGACATAAAAATCAGATGAGCGGAATTTGTTTGTAAATAACTGCGTCGACCAAAAAAAAGAAGAAAAATAGCGGGAAAGATATGCAAAACAATAAAACTTAATTGCTTGATCAGTTTTTTGTCTGACTGGTTGCCGCACACTGACTGAATATAAAGACCTATTTAAAAAATAAAAACACACATTCGTGCACAAATTTACAAAGTGTGAAGATACATTGTTTATGATTAGAGTTGTGCGTTTCTTTTTTTTTTGCTGAAATACTATTTCAATGGAGATAATCGCTCTGCTTGAAAGCTGAGAAATCTAAAATTGCATTGAGCCCTTGTGCCTAGCGAGCATGTTTTTTTTGAATAGTATGATACTCGTATTTACTCCTTCAATAATGGCTCCTTAAGACGCCTGCAATGTAAATAAGCGCTGCTATGACAGTTCTGTCACGAAACAAGTTTTGGATAAGCCAAATGAGGCTGACTTCCATTCCAAGCTTATCTAAGCCCTTAACAATTGCTTCCGGCAGGATATTTTTAACAATCAAAAGCCTCATCGATATAGACGAAGGCAGGGTGACCTACCGACCTTCCTTTCATGGCGGTTTCTACCGATTTTCTTTCCTTACAATAAGCGTTTTGAGCTCTTAATAGGCGATCTCGAGAAATCCCTCTCCTCATGTGCAGGTCAACCATTATCAGCTAATGTTGGGCGAAAACTAATGAAAACGTAATTCCAGCGTATGTGGATAAAGATCTAGGCGGCTGTTTATGCTGTCTAAAAAATCACCGTCCAATCGGAAATAACGCGGAGCGACTAAAAATCACAGTTCAATCAGTTTCATGGAGAATGATGAGGAGGGGCTAGCTGAAAATTTTCTACTAAGTACTTAGATTGCCCAGATCTGTTTAGGCTTACCGTTCAAAACTTTATGAGTCCAACTGACGACGGCTAATCGAAATAGTTCCCTAATGTCACTCAGCTATAACACCTGGTACTTTAGGCCTCACCCCCTTGAAACAGCACGTTTCCTGGTCCTAACTTCAGTTGTACTTGCGTCAACGATTGACAGACAGACTGGCCGAATTAGACAGGACTAAAAGCACAGTTACCCACGGACGTAAAAACGGTGAACGTGTCCGCTGAAGCGATCTATCTTATGGGATTCGCGTGTTAACTAAAACTCACCACCGCATGACCGTGACGTAGACGTTGCTTCTCTCTATTTCTATCAACAGCAAAGTTGATATCTTTCTACATACTTCTACGCTACGCCACGTACACGTTCGTGGGTAACCGCGCTGTTAGTAGTGCCGCCGCAACAACAACAAGCATTGCTGTAAGCGCCAAAAGCGATATGTTTCTTGTGCTCGAGACTTAACAAATGAATTTGTTTCATTTCTAAAAAGTGTATGTGTCTCCTAAAACTAGTAATTCTTAAGTATACCATTATTATCTAAAAAAAAACTAAATACAAATCGCCTCCCTAAAATCACTCAAAATGAACCACGCTCCTCAAACACTTCATATCTGTCAGCGTAAGAGCACGAATAAAGGCCCGTCCACATAGAACTTTGGCGTTGCGTTGGCGTTGGCGTCGCTTCAACAGCTGATTATGAATACATGAGCTCAAATGCATAGCCAAAATTCGACAACGCTCACACCAACACAAAGCAAAAGATGTCCAACTCTCAACTTTTCGCGTGCGTCGCTCGTCAGCTGTTGCAAATAAAAAAAATTATGTGAAACATTTTTCCTTTTTAACCACTTTCGGGCAAGAAATATTGTTTTCAATACAATTATTGATATGAAATATTAATTTATCTGTCGTTAGTATGTTAATTTATTGGCCCATTGTAGCAAGCATACTTTTATCGTGCATTCTATCAAACCAACGCCAACGCCAAAGCCAAAGCCAACGCGACAGTTCTATATGGACCGGCCTTAAAGGCTTAGTTATGCATACTTGGCATTGCATAAGAGTTGTCACATAAGGAATCTATTAAATGAGCTTTGCGTGTAAGCGGTTACCCAACGCACAGCACTAAATATGTAGAAGTCTGTTGATTTTTGATTTCTTCGTAAAATGGCATGCTATGCAGTGCAAAGTATGCATAACCAGTGTTGCCAAGTTTTAAATTTGAAAAAGCAAGAAAAATCGCGTTTTTTTCTCGAAAAAAGCATCAGTATTTTTATTGGAGGATTTAATGTATTTTGTATCCAGATTGTTTAAAAAGTAAAAAGCCATTTCTGAAAAATGGCCAACGTTTTTTTTTTATAAAATTCATGAAATCGGCTTTAAAAATATTTTATTTTAAAATTTACACACAACATAGTTTGTAAAACCAAAAACGAATATAATGCTTTCAGGGTACTGATGTAAAAAAAATTTTCTTTAAAAATATTCATACTTTTAACAAATAATTGTATTAACTTATTTCCCAATAGGACCGTGTAATTAATAAATTTATTATAACTCATATTAATTGATTAATCGCACAATCCGCTTTTAAGCGCTCGGCGCTAAAAATAAAATAAAAGCTATAATAAGGCGAGATCAGCTATTTCTACAAATGAAATTGCAAATTTCACTTTCAGCGGGAGTTGTCACAAATGTTGGTTTAATATTAGCAAATGTTCGATATGCTACAACAAAATCTATAACAAAAACGAGTGTTGACGCATTAAAATTGCAGTTCTAACTCCATAACTTACTTATCACGTGTTTTGACGTATATACGTGATAGCGCGCAAGAAATTGAATTGAAGGAAAAAAATCGCCAAAAGCGATTTTCTAAATTTTTACACGCAGCTATCCAAAAAAAAATCGGGAAATTGGCGCTAAATCGACCAATCGACCCTCCTACGGTGGCTTTTGGCTGCAGGGTTCGTCGTACATTGCTGATACCAGTGGGTACCTGTTGCATGTGACTAGCAGCTGTTACTTGAACAAACAAATCAAATTATGGCTGAATGCCGGTCGCTGCTTGCTTTCTTGCCGTCGTCAACGCGCATCAATCTACGACTGTTGCCATTTGTGTTAGTTGCTCGTTTGCGTTTTGCTATATTTTTCGTGTTTTTATTTTTCTTCTTGTTTACGATGCATTCTATGTATAATCTACTCGTGCGGTAGTTGAAGAGGGAAAGGAGTGAGGTTTGTCTGCACTTTGGCATTTTTCTTCTCACTATTCACATATTTTACGACTTGTTTGGGTTGATTTTTGCTGTAATGCATATAAATACTACATAAGTATGTATTTACCCTGTAGTCAAATGTACTAGTTGTAAACAATCTCACAATTAGTATGAACCAACTAGTCAGCCAAATATCTTTTTTCAATGCAATCGACTGGTATTTTTAACACGGGGATGTCCTACGAGATGGCAATTGTCAGATGTCGGTCAGAAATATACCAGTCTTATACTAATTAAAAATAGACAGAAAAATACTAGTCCAATTATGGACCAAAACCACTACTTTGGGAGTCAAAAAATAATACACCATTTTTTTTAGCAGCCTTAAATTTGCCAATAACACTGGTTTACAGCAAAAATGTTCTATGGATGCCACTATCCAATTCCTATGTAGAATTGCTCGGTGATTCCGAAAATCAAGATAATTTTTTTTCTATGGATAACTTTTCGAGATATTCGTAATCGTATATCGTAATACAAGATACGGGAAATGAAAGAAAATAAAATTCTCTCAAAAAATCTGGAATGATTAATTAATTTCTCAGAAACTATCAGGGTTATCGAAAAGTAATGTATATAAGGTTTATGAAGAATTTTATTTTCTATCATTTGCCGTACCTCGCATTACGATTATTTAATTGGTTCGTAAGATTTACCTGATTAAGTGGAACAACTCTTTTTTTTAAGTTTAATAACGGTAAATTCCAAATATCTCGAAAAAGTATCCATACAAATTTGATAGTGGCGTCTGGAGAACAAANGAAACACCAGGTCCCGTCTTATTCGCAGAAAAAAAGTTGAAATTTGTAGACCAGTGTAATTGAACTTAGTGAAATAATTATATTATCTAATCGTGTAATTAAAAAAAGTAAAAAATAATTGAAAATGGNAATTTTATTTTCTATCATTTGCCGTACCTCGCATTACGATTATTTAATTGGTTCGTAAGATTTACCTGATTAAGTGGAACAACTCTTTTTTTTAAGTTTAATAACGGTAAATTCCAAATATCTCGAAAAAGTATCCATACAAATTTGATAGTGGCGTCTGGAGAACAAAATCAAAATTAAAATTTGTGATCCAGTGTGATTAGTGTTAATTTTTTTTAAATGCATTTTTCATTAAATGTTATTAAAAGTAAAAGCTTTCAGGTACAATAAATACTACATTTTTCATCTTTTTTAATAATACTTAATGTAAAAAAAAACATTTTAGTTAAAAATAAAATAAATACTTCAGTTCATTTTCCAATGAACTTAAATAAAAATAAAAATTTTCATTAAATTAAATTAAATTCATTAACTTAGCTCATTTCAGTCCTTTCTTTATAAAATTTTATAAAACTAATAATTAAAGCATAAAACTTGAGATTTGAATAAGAATAAGAATAAAATAAATAAATAATTCACGCAATTATTAAATATTCTTAATTTGTGTCTATAGTTTGGCTTGTTGATTGATAACACTGGTCTACAAGGGTTTTGCGAATAAGACGGGACCTGGTGTTTCCGAACGGATTTTTCGTGCTGAACACGAATCTGGGGTCCAAAACTTCCCATCACGTCACGTTTTCGAGAAAAAAGGGGTTGAAACCCCTAAAAACAGCGTTTTTGGCCATTTTTGAAAAATTGTAGAGCTGAACCCTGACGTGCTACAAACTTTGTAT